AGAGAAATAAATATGAAAATCAGCTCCACGAAAACCCGGGATGTATATCATAGAAAAATACATCTAGATTTATAGTCAAATTTGTAGTACAGAAGTGTATCCTCAACGCGCATAGCACATACTACCTCTAACCTGTTTCCCTCTTTGATTGATGGAGAAATAAATTTAAAGTAAAAATTTGGAAATTATTTACCTTTTGTTATCGTTCATTCCATAGCACAGCCCTTGAATCCCCATGGCACGTTCAAACAGACCAGCGCGACCTGCTTCTTCCATGTTAATGAGAAGACGCGGTACATCATCTGACACCTAAAGGAGAGGAGCCATAATTTCAACAAATGCTCCTACAATTTTATTCCTAGCCTACATCATCCATGATAAGCATAAGCCGCGTTCAAATATGAAAGGAGAGTTACAACTTTTATAGAGAAGAAGAGGGCACAATGACTGTATAAAGACCAGTTTCTACGCATACACAGCTAGCTAAGGCCGAAATCTCAATCTAAAAACTCACTTCAATTGTAACACTTACCTCATTGACCATGCTAGCAAATGGCTGTACAACAAGTGACGTGCCCAAAATCAATAGAAGATCACATTTAGGAAAGTCCTGCAAAAGATTTTCAGAGTCGCGGCTTAACTCAGATACAACAGAATGTTTACCGAGATAGCGCACTGGAAAAAACGTTGTGGTAAATTTTCACCAAAGAATACGATGTCTGGTTTAACAACTCCTTTACAATTTTCACATCTCGGCACTTTGCAGTTTGGATCCTTGATGCGGTCTAAAAAAACACCGCGAGATTCATCACCACCTAGATGTTGCTTTTTTGAAAAAAAAAAACCTGTCATCCACTGCATATCGTATTTCTTATAGCAACCAAGACAGGTGCTGGTATGATGATTGCCATGCGCACAGACAATTTTGTCTTCAGGAACACCAGTGATGAATTCCAGTGAATCGATATTCTACAAGAAACAGTCAAACAGAAACCGACGTATGATTTCATCAAAATATCAAAATGACAGGCAGTAAGTT